TTTGATATTTATTGCAGGGATTTGATATTTATTGCAGGGATTTGATATTTATTTCAGGGATTGGGTGTTTATTGCAGAAATTGGTTGTTTATTGCACAGACTGGATATTTATTGTAGGAATTGGATGTTTATTTCAGGAATTGGATATTTATTGCAGGGATTGGATATTAATTGTAGAAATTGGATATTTATTGCAGGGATTGGGTATTTATTGCAGGGATTAGATATTTATTGCAAGGATTTGATATTTATTTCATTGATTTGATATTTTTTGCAGAAATTGGATGTTTATTGCAGGAATTGGATGTTTATTGCAGGAATTGGATATTTATCAAAGGGATTGGATGTTTATTGCACAGATTGGATGTTTATTGCAGAAATTGGATGCTCATTGCAGGAATTGGATGTTTATTGCAGAAATCAGTTGTTTATTGCACGGATTGGATGTTTACTGAGGGCAGCCTGCTAGGAACACAATTTCTCAGCAGGTGCTTCCACAAATCATTTTCTCTAATGAACCTACACCACAAAATCAAGACCAGAAGAACAGAAATCCACTAATTACTTGTCTCAAAGCACCTTTTTAGAAAAAAAAAAAATACCAAAACACTCTTAAGTAAGGTCACCAACAGAGTGGGGAAACAAATGGAGAGGTGGAATTAGAGCACAACACCGGAGTGTTCCTTCTCAGTGTGGCACAAAATGCCTGGAAAGGCAGTGGAGCTGGTTTTGGGATAACTGGGGCTCAGCCAAGGCAGCCCAGCCCCTTCCCCACCAGCAGCAGCTGCCAGGAGGGTCCCAGGCACGTCCTGGTGCCATCCTGATGTGTCCCCACATGGTGCTTCCCCCAAGGAGCCGCTTGTCCTGAGCAGCTGCTTTTGGGACAGAGGGCAAAGAGATGTGAGAGGAGCTGGTGGGACACAGGGAACGTTAAATACAGGATTTTTTGGGAGCAAACAGGAATTCCACACGTCCTTTCTCACTGCAGGAGGGATCAGCCTGACCAGGTGTGTAGAAACTTGAAGGGGTTTCTTCTCACCTCCCCGGAATTATTCATTGGCTGCAGCAGGAATTTGGCTTCCATGTGAAAGGGATGAGGGATTTCTCTTTCCAAACAAACTGGGGGTCTGCAGATAAATCAAATGGGATACTGAGAGATGAAAGAAACAATGGGAAGAATCAGGAATTCCACAGGAATTCCACTGACTGACACAAGGAAAAGGAAAAAGGGAGGGCACAAATTAGAAAGGAATCTGTATTAGGTGATTTGGGAAGTCTGAACCTCTCAAGTACCTCAGCCAGTGGGGAAGAGAGAGGGAAATGTGGCCAGGAAACTGGGATAAAAAGGAGGCTGCATCCCCTAAAAACTGGAAAGACCCCAGGGAAATGCCCCATGGCCTCTCCCTTTATCGGAATGAAGTTACAGGACTCCTCTGTCTCCTTGTGGACATAAACCCCAGTGGTGGTTGTGGATGAATTTCCCTGGCATTCCCAAGTTTCCTCACTTGCTGACAGTGAAAATCCACACCAGGGTGGATGAAGCTCTCAGTGTGGAGCAGCTCCAGCAATGGCAGCAGCAGAGATGCACTTGAGGGCTGAGCTGATCCCTTCCAGGGCCACTCTCCTCGTTAGTCACCTCCAGCTCCAGAAAAAGCGAGTGACAGGAACACAAAAGAGCTGGAGTTTTCCAGCAGGAGATTCAAGGCTCACATTTTCCAAGGTTCACATAATTTCTTTAATGCAGCAGTTGATGATCCACCTCCAGACACTCCAATGAATCCGGCACTTCAGCCAAACTCACAACACTTGACAGAATTTCCCTTCTATTGGTGAGTCATTAGCAGAACATTTCCATTTTCCTCTCACTTAACTCCACTGGAATACAATCCCAAATCACTGGAGTGACACAGGCAGGACTGATTTCCTTGGAAGAGTTTCTACCTCCTTTTCCTTCTCTAGAATTCTTCAAAGGATGTTGCAAGATTAAAATCACAGGATGTGATTCAGAAATCCCTGCCAGCATCCCCTCGATCAGAACAAGTGAAACTTGAAGAATTGTGGAGGATGTGGGAACATGAACATGGCTGCTCTTGACTCTTTGGTGACACAAATAAGAGATCAGAAGTTTTTGTTAAATATACAAATTCTTCCCCAGTCAGTACAAATTAAAGTTCAAGCAGCTGAGTGTTGAAATAACCAGTACAAATTAAAGTTCAAGCAGCTGAGTGTTGAAAGAACGTGGCCAACCTCTGTTCCAGGGAGTTTAAGACCTGCCCTCACATTTCCTCCCAAAAAATGTGTAATATCCTTTTATAATCAGCTCCCAAACAGATTTTCCACCAGATTTCCAGATTTTCCAGATCAACCCCACCACTCTCAGAGGCTCAAATCAGACTCTGCCCTTTCAGCTCCAGTTTCCTGATCTCTGCTCTGCTTCCAACACAAACCAGCTCCATTTCCTGCCTCTCCTGGAATGACACAGTTCTGTTGGTCCTGGCCTTTGCAGAATTTACAGTGAATATTTTACTTTCCTCTTCCTCCCAAAAAGATTGGAAGTTTTTCTTTTCAACTCCTTTTCTCTAGATATACAATCAGTTAAGTTATTTTAACTAATTTATGTTTAATATATTTCTTCCAAAGCTCCTTAAATATTAAACCCCAAAGCTTATCTCAAGGAATCACTGACCTCCTAGAATATTCACTGCCACTGAATGAAGTTTATGCCACCATTCCTTTTCCATCTCAAACATCTTTATGGCAATACATGTGGCACAGCTAAAATCTTGATTTTTTTTTTTTTCCTTTTTTTTTTCCCTTTTTGAACAGTGACTTTCAGAGTTTGAGTTTATTAAGTCAGGTAGTCCCTCGGGCTTTTTTTTTTTTTTTTTTCACTGTATTAGACAGGATGCAGAATTCCAGACAAGGTGACAGGGCAGGGAACAGTGCCAGGGGGTACCAGGGATTACTCCAGCCTTGCTGAAAACATCACAGCCCGTCCCTCCCGAGATGTTGCCATAGAAACCTCAAATTATGTCTATAGGGGAACAGGAAAAAAAAAGTTTCTTCAAGGTATGGATGAAGCAGCTCCATGGAAACCAGCCCTGGCTGTCAGAGAAATGAACGGAGGGGGTTTGTGTGGGAAGATGATCGGCTAAATCTGCAAAGTGCCAGCCAGGAGAGCTGGCACTGCCTGCTCGGGGCTGGCACCGGGGCTACATGGCACAGGAGCTCCTGGCACAAAGCTGGGGAGCAGCGACTGCAGTGCCCATGGGGCCAAAATACCCCAAAAAATGACCAAATGGTCAAAATACCCCACAAACGCCTGATCACAGGGCCTAAACACCCCACAAATGACCAAATGGCCAAAATACCCCACAAACACCTGCCCACAAGGCCAAAATACCCCAAAAAATGACCAAATGGTCAAAATACCCCACAAACCCCTGATCACGGGGCCAAAATACCCCACAAACCCCTGATCACGGGGCCAAAATACCCCAAAAAATGACTAAATGGTCAAAATACCCCACAAACCCCTGATCACGGGGCCAAAATACCCCAAAAAATGACCAAATGGTCGAAATACCCCACAAACACCTGATCACAGGGCCAAAATACCAAATAAACACCTCACGACAGGGCCAAAATACCCCACCAACGCCTGATCACAGGGCCAAAATACCCCACAAATGCCCATCCAAATGGCCAAAATACCCCACAAACACCTGCCCAAATGGCTAAAATATCCCACAAATGCCTGATCACAGGGCAAAAATACCCTAAAAAATGACCAAATGGCCAAAATTCCCCACAAACCCCTGATCACGGGGCCAAAATACCCCAAAAAATGAACAAAGGGCCAAAATACCCCACAAATGCCTGATCACAGGGCCTAAACACCCCACAAATGACCACTTGGCCAAAATACCCCACAAACACCTGATCACAGGGCCAAAATATCCCGCAAATGACCACTTGGCCAAAATAGCCCACAAACACCTGTCCAAATGGCTAAAATACCCCAAAAACACCTGCTCACGTGGCTAAAACACCCCATTAACACCGGCCCACATGGCTGAAACACCCCACAAATGACCACAGGGCCAAAATACCCCACAAATGTCTGTCCAAGTGGCTAAAATACCCCACAAACACCTGACCACAGCGCCAAAATACCCCACAAACACCTGATCACTTGGCTAAAATACCCCATAAATGCCTGTCCAAATGGTTAAAATATCCTACACGGGCCTGTTCACAGGGCCAAAATACCCCACAAAAACCTGTCCAAATGGCTAAAATACCCCACAAATGACCACTTGGCCAAAATATCCCACAAACGCCTGCCCACAGGCCAAAATGCCCCACAAATACTTGTCCGAATGGCTGAAATATCCCCCCCAGCGTCCATAAACCTGGGAGCAGCCTGGCACAAATCAAAGGTGATCCAGGCTGACAAGGCTTGGGGATAATAATAATAATAATAATAATTATTATTATTATTATTATTATTATTATCATTAATGTATTGATTATTTTTATATTATTATTTCTATCCTACTATATATTTCTATATTTTCTATATTATGCTATATATTAAATATATATGTATGTTTCTATATTATAATAGATAATATTATATTTGTATAATATTTTGATATAAGTATATGTTTTTATTATTATAGTAACTTATTTATATGCCATTTATTTATATATATTATTTATATATGTAATTTATCATTAGATATAATTTATTATTATCTATTATTCATATGTCATTTATTTCTCTATTGTCTATATTATTAGTGATATATTATTTATTATATATAATATAATGATGTATATATTATTATGTTTATATTTTCTATATTATTAATATATATATTTTTACAGCATTTGGCTGCTTTATCAGTAAGGAACATTTTGTGTGCTTGTAAAAGGTACTGAGCTAGACGCATGTTATAATTCCAATTTTTCTTCCCATTCTTTTTATATTTCCACTCTTTCCTCCCCATTCTTTTTCCCTTTTCCACTCTTTTATCTCTTTTATATTTCCCTGGAAAGAGTTCTGTGTCCAAACACTGCTTTGGGGATTCACATCAGTCCTGTAGCTGCTCTCCCCAGCTGCTCCCAGCCTCATTCATGGAGCTTTGATGAGGGTAAGGAAAGCATTGAAACATCCAAACAGATATGGGAGTGCCTGGAAATCAAAATTTTACAGCATTTGGCTGCTTTATCAGTAAGGAACATTTTGTGTGCTTGTAAAAGTTACTGAGTTAGACGCATGTTATAATTCAAATTTTTCTTCCCATTCTTTTTCTATTTTACACTCTTTCCTCCCCATTCCTTTTCCCTTTTCCACTCTTTTCTCTCCTTTATTTCTCTGAGAAGAGTTCTGTGTCCAAACACTGATTTTGGGATTGAGATTTGATGGGATTTGAAGGATTTGAGTGGAGGCCACAGCCCTGAGCTCGCAGCCCGCCAGGCTCTGCAGGAGCTGCTGCAATTTTTCATGAAGTTGATGTCAGGCAAAGCTTCTGTGTGGCAGGAGCAGAATTCCAGGGCACACAGACTTCCTGCCCTGCCCCTGCTATTCCCCAGGTTTGCAATCCTACACCACCAACTCTCACCCTCTTCCTGCCCGCCTTGGTTTCACGTTCCCCCCTCTGCTTGCCAAAACCTAACTCACACAACACTTTATTTATAAATTTCCCCTCTCTCCAAGGCTCAGGAATAGCCTCACTTGTCTCATCAGCAGATCCAATGTTTTAGCCCATCTCCAGCCAGGTTTGCTATTTACAGCTGGAAAATTCTGCATTCTCCAAATGTTAAAACCAACTTTTAAACCTATTTAAACCTTCTAACCAATTAAAATTTGCTATTGACAGCTGGAAAATTCTGCATTCTCCAAAAATAAAACAAACTTTTAAACCCATTTAAACCTATGTTAACCTTCTAACCAATTTAAACCTACTCACAGCTGGAAAATTCTGCATTCTCCAAAAGTTAAAACCAACTTTTAAACCTGTTTAAACCTATTTTAACCTTCTAACCAATTTAAACCTATTCACAGCTGGAAAATTCTGCATTCTCCAAAGGTTAAAACAAACTTTTAAACCTATTTAAACCTTCTAACCAATTTAGATTTGCTATTGACAGCTGGAAAATTCTGCATTCTCCAAAAGTTAAAACAAACTTTTAAACCTATTTTAACCTTCTAACCAACTTAAACCTATTTTGTTAAAACCAAATAAGTTTGTTATTGACGGCTGGAAAATTCTGAGTTCCCCAAAAGTTAAAACAAACCTTTAAACCTATTTTGACCTTTTAACCTATTTAAACCTTTTAAACTTATTTTGTTTTAACAAAATAGGTTTGCTATCGACAGCTGGAAAATTCTGAGTTCTCCAAAAGTTAAACCAAACTTTTAAACCTGTTTAAACCTATTTTGTTAAAACCAAATAAGTTTGCTATTCACAGCTGGAAAATTCTGTGTTCTCCAAAAGTTAAAACAAACTTTTAAACCTATTTTGACCTTTTAACCTATTTTGTTAAAACCAAATAAGTTTGCTATTCCCAGCTGGAAAATTCTGCATTCTCCAAAAGTTTAAAACAAAAAAACAACAAAAAAAAACTATGGGGAAAAGGCATCACACAAACCTAAAAGGCAAATTATCACTGCACTGGAACAGAGCCATCAAAATTCCAGGATTTTTTCCATTGGGCAGCTCAGAATTGGTTTTCACCCTGTGCTTGCGAAGGGAATCAAAGCTGAGCTTTAGATGAAGGATCAGCACTGTCACAGCAAGAACTAGACTCAGGATTTTACATTTTCCAGGCATTAATGCGTGCAGCGTTTGGTTTCATTGAGACAAACAGTTTTAATCAGCAGCAGGAATAAATTCATCAGTCAGACAAATCAATTCCAGGCAACACCTCCCCAGCACAGCCCTGCTGTGAGCAGCTGCAGGAGGTACCTGTGCTCCTCTCACACAAACAAGCCTTGCTTCTCTTGGCCTGCCAATCACAGAGCAGCAGGAATTTTTGGATAAACAGCCAGGGGGGATATCAGTGTTCTCCAGAGGAAGCTGGAAAACATTCCCAGCTCTTGGGCTGCTGTGCTTCTCTCCTTGACACCATTACAGGAGTTAAAGAAACATTTTCCCTGGTGGGATGTTTCACATTTTCCAGTGTGACATTCACATTCTCTGGGCAGACAGACAGAATTCTGTCTCTCAGGATTTCACAGGGAGAAGAAAAGGAAACAATTTTTATCTCTGCTGCTTGGTTTTGCCCATGTGGAATGTGGTGTGGAGATTGTTCACCTGGGTTGGATTCTGGGGAAGGTTCTTTGGGGTCAGTGACCAGTGGGATCCAGCTGTGGCTCGGGCTCTCAGCAGAGTCACGAGTTTGAGTTAGATAGGTAAGTAACAAATAAATATATAGAATAAAATAGTATCACTTTAAATAGTATATTAATGTAATATAGTATAGTTTTAATAAAGCTATCCTTCAGCCTTGATCTAAAACCAAACATCAGCATTTCTTCCCCGAGTCCAGGGTCACTCTGTTTTTACTATTCTCCAACTCGCCTGAACTTTGCTCACCAAACCCTTTTCCCGTTTTCCTTGTAAAACTCAAAGCCATGAAAGGCCTTTAAACAGAGAAGAATTTAAGACAATTGAAGCACTGCTTACTCTGCCACAACCCTCAGCAGGGCATTCCTTTCCTGAGTATTTACACCCATCTACTCCTGAAAATTTAAGATATCTTGTCAACATAAATGTGAATCTTCACAAAGGTGAAATTCAGTGTGTAGGACACACCCCAGGGCCGAGCACTGGAGGGGACCTGCCACAAGGTGCTGTTGTCACAAAACACCTTCCAATATTTCTTTGGAAAGAAATACAGATACAAAATCCATTTTTTCCTCCCACTCTCAAAACCACAGGATTTGCATTCCACAGCTTCATCTCCCAGCCAGTGCTTTGCCAGCTGAGACACCCAATTCTAACAGGAAATCCCCTTTTTTATTCCAAATGTATCAATTTGTTGCCCACGTTCCTTGGGCTAGCGCTGCAATTCCAGACGTTTGATAATTTAATGATAATTACCATTAAATGCCATTTTCACCAGGGAGGTGGCAGCTCAGAGCCACACGCTGGGGCATTGCCACAGGTTTGCAGTGGCAATCAGAACTGCAGCCCAGGAAGAGCAGCCACCCTTCAGGGCTGCATTTACCCTGAATGACCCTGACAGACTATGCAGTGTTTATTTGTTCTGCTCTAAATCCATCTTCTCCAGACTGCCACGTTCTGTTATCTCCTCATTTCCCTCCTTCAATCACTTCATTAGTTCCATTTCTCTCTGATGCTGATACATGAACTTGCATCTTTTGTTGCTCAGTTGTAAAACCTGAGCTCTCCCCTTTTAATGAGAGTATTTGACTTTTTAAACCATTTTTCCTTTTTTTTTTTTTTTTTGGAGCTCATTCCTTAATCCTTAATTCCTTTTTTTACTTTACTTTTTTTTGGGAGGGGGGCTCATTCCTTAATCCAAAACACTCAGGGAGGTGTAGGAGTTCCTGACTTCATTTCCTCCTCAGATCAGAGTTCCAGTAAAGCAGAACAATCAGCTGAATTAACCCCTCTAAGAATAACAAAAAAAAATCATCTCAGGAACTCTGCTTGGGGGCCAAGGGTGCTAAAGAAAGGAACAACACACAATAATAATTAGCCAGTTCTGCAGAGCTCTCCCAGCACACACACAGATGGCACACAGACAGTCAAACACTACACACACATTTCATGACATTTTGGAAGCAGCACATTTGGATTTGAATACCCCAAGCTGTTACTCAGAGCAGCTTTTTTCTTTTATTGTTTTTTATTGCTTTCTTTTTCTTTTTTTTTTTTTTTTTGCCACCAACAAAACTCTGCCTCGTTTATTTTCATATTTCAGCGCACCCACAGCACAGATCTTTGAGCATGCTTGTAGTAAAACTATTAACATGGATTTGGATGTTGCTGTGATCACTTTGCTTCTCCCTCTTTTCTGGAGGGAGCCAGAAGACATGGAAATAGAAAATCAATGTGTAAACCCATCAGGAGGAGACCTAAAGGATCAGACCTCTTCAGAAACTCTTCTTATTCCTGGAAGTGCTCCTTGAAGTGACTTTGAGGTGCCTCTGTTAATTTGTTAAAGCTCTGTAAGAGCAGACCCAGCAGCCCTGTGCTTTCTTTCCCCACCACAAAGACGTTTTTTTTGCCATCCTCATTCTTCCCAACCCATTCAGAAATGAAGATGCCCCAATTCCCCTTCTAAAATCAGATTCAAACCCTCCCTGGCAGTTCTGCAGCCAGCCCAATCCCACTCCATGGCACTCATACATCAGATTTATGAGTACTGGAATACATTTATTAAATAAAAGCCACCTCACAGGTTTTATAAACAGCGGGATTTTACTGAGGAAGCAGAGCGGCCGTCCACCAGCTGCCACAGCAGCGAGGGATAGGACACAGAGATGAGAATTTCTGGATTTTATCACGCAATTTTATTCCAAAAAGAGCCCAGCAGCATCTGCTGTGAGCCCAGAGTTGTGCAAAACCATCCATTCAGTCACCAACTCTCTTCTTCAGAAGGGAATAACCCAGGAGATGCTGGCTGCCAAAATGCTGCTGTAAACCCCAACTGTGTGGATATCCTCAGGTCAGTCAGAGAGAAAAAGAGAAAGTCTGGGATAAAGAGAAAGTCTGGGAAAAATCCAAAAACAATGTAAACAATCTATTATCTTGTTTGTTCATATTGTTTGTAGATATGTTCTACCACACTGACCTGAGTCCAGTGCACCAATCAGGTGAAATGTTTTTATTCTAAAACCAATGGAATTCATGTTCATGATGTTCTCTATAAAAGAGAGAGGTGCTTTTGAATAAACTTTTATTTGTCTTCTGAAATGTGTGAATCATTTCACCCGTCCCTGCCTCAAGAGCATCACAACTGCACCAAGCTCACCTGGGCCCTCCTGCAGGGTTTGTGCCAGAAATCAGAGACTCAGTGCTGCCAGACCCAAACACTCCCTTTAGCTACAAATCCCACAGTTTTATCTAAAGTTTAACCACATCTCAAAAAAAAACCCCAAAAATAAAGCACTCCCTGTGGGCAGGGTTTGTGCCAGAAATCAGACTCAGTTACTGCCATACCCCAAAGAGTCCCTTTAACCACAAGACACATTTATTTAAAGTTTTATCACATCTCAAAAAAACAGAAGAAAACACTCCCTGGTGGGCAGGGTTTACAGGTTTTGGCCTCCAGCAAATCTCATTTCCTGCTCACCCTTCAGGACGAGCAGAGCATTAGTAAACAGATCATCTCAGCTGTAATTACACTTGGCATTCAAAGAATCATTTAAGCCCAGAATAATTTTGTTTGGGCCTTCACTGAGTAACAGGAGAAATAAAAGACATCAATAAACATCACGGAGGGGTGACAGGCTGGCATCAGAGCAGAGCTGAACTCCTTCCATCCCTACTCTCCAGGAAATCCTCGTGAATGGGGCAAGGGAAGGTGCAAAAGCCCAGCCTGGAGATCTTGGCTGCCTCTGGGGCACAACCAGCCTCAACAGCCACTGCAGGGTCTCTGAGAAACAAGGTAAATTCAGCAATAAACAGAGCAGCTCTGGGTTAGGAATGGGTCTAAGGGGCCTGTGAAAAGCAAGGTAAATTCAGCAATAAACACTGCAGCTCTGGGTTAGGAACAGGTCTAAGGGGCTGTGAAATGCAAGGTGCATTCAGCAATAAAAACTGCAGCTCTGGGTTAGGAACGGGTTTGAAGCTCCTGGAATCTGAGCCATGGTACTGAAGACACTTTAGCAAAAGCCTCTCCAATTTTGTGTTTTAAACACCCAGAAGGTTTCTTGTGTTGTCCTTACAGTGCCAGTCTAAACCCTTCTGTGTTTAACCTGAGTGCTCAGCCATCTCCCTTTTCACATCCAAATTTGAGAAGCTTTGTTTGCTCTTAGCTGCTGTTTCAACAAGTCTGAGATACAATCAACTTAGGAGCAGCACTTAGAACGATTTTAAAATTATTTCTGCCTTCAATTGCGATGCTTGCAGGAAGCAATAAGCCACATGATGATATCCATTATCTTAAATATATCCAATATATAGAGTATAGGGTATGGGATATAGGGTATAGGATATCCCTTATCTGGCTCCCACACGCATTTTGCTCTTCACACCCCATACAGCACTGCCAGGAACCCGCCTGGCTGCTGGGTTCTCTCTCAGTTTTGGGAATTGCCAGCCAGAGGAGACAAGGAATGGAAGGATGCACAGTGACAGAGGAACCCCGCCGGGAGCAGATTAAAAACAAATCCCTGGAGGAGAGGAGCAGCTCCATCGATTCCAGCAGAGCTGCCTCAGTGCCCAGGAGCAGGGGGAGCTGGGCTGTGTGTCCCCAGCTGCAATCCAGATAAGCGGTGCTCTGCTCCAAGTGTGCTCCCCTGCAAGAACACAACAGGCTGCCGTGTAAACCAATAAGGAGATTAAAAAGCTCATTAAAAAGCTCGTTTTCATCTCTGATGTGCTGCTCGCCGGGAAATTCCTCCTGTCCATCCCCCCTCACAAACCCAGGGATGTCACCAGGGCAATGCCATGTTTGTGACAAGGAGCTCCTGGCCAGGGCAGGGCCTGACATTTCAAATGTTGACTGCTCCTGAGAGCCTGGCCCTTCCTCACAGACACATTAGGAGATAAAAGGCTTATCTACACAAATAGTAAACATCCAGCTGGCCTGAGCTGCTTAGCCCAGCCCTGGGATTGGGAGGGCTTGGAGAGGGAGCACAAAGTGCCCTGAGATCTCTGAGGGCTTGGAGAGGAGCACAAAGTCAGTCCTGGAAAGGGAGAAGGAAGCAATCCTGAGATCTCTGAGGGTTTGGAGAGAGGCACAAAGTCCCCTGAGCCCTGTGAGGCTTTGGAAAGGGAGAACGAAGTCAATCCTGAGATCTCTGAGGGTTTGGAAAAGGATAACAAAATCCCCTGAGCTCTCAGAGTGTTTGGAAAGGAGCACAGACCCCTGAGCTCTCTGGAGGTTTGGAAAGGAGCACAAAGACCCCTGAGCTCTCTGAGGGTTTGGAAAGGGAACACAGACCCCTGAGCTCTCTGAGGGTTTGTAAAGGGAACACAGACCCCTGAGCTCTTTGAAGGTTTGGAAAGGAGCACAAATACCCCTGAGC